CCTTTCCAGGTATGTGCGCCGGTGGGAGTCAGGAAGGGGGAGGATGTGCGGGTCGTGAGTGGGGTCCTGGGTGCCAGGGGGGTGGGAACGGTGTGGTGCCGAGGTGCCGCCGTGTGCAAGCAGTGTTGCCCCTGCCCTTCGTCTACCAGCATGTCCGGGGCAAACCAGGCAGGTGCATGCTGTTGTCGTCCCCCCCCCCCCCCCCCCCTCCGCCGTTTGTGCCCGTAGGCCACTGGCTCACATCGCCCCACGACTCAAGACTTCCCACCCTCATTGTGCCTGTCGAGAGAAGGTGCCCCCGCCCATGCATTCCCTATCATCCAAAACCCCTGTGCATGCTTTCGCAAAGTTGACACCCAGACAATTGAATGCAAAAGGGGCCCTGGGTGAGGAGCATGCGATGGGCAGGGCACAGGCTCTGATGGAGGTGAGTTGTCATGCAGGCATCAGCCCTCGGCAGCGCTCCAAAATAGGTGCTGCTGAGACACAGCTGGCGCAGTCCGTAGGCTACAAGCTCCGCAAAGGGGCAGCCCTCCGCTGTAGGAGAGGCGAGCCGCCAGAACATGGCTCAGATAGCGCCCATCCTTCCTCCTCCTTTCATTCTCAGCACAGAGACCACCGCCGTCCCAGCAAACAGGCAGTGATCACAGGTCGTTGACGTACAGCTCCAGACGGGCGCGCCAGCCGGACCCCGGGTCGAGGCGGATGGGCACGGCCGCCACCGCGTTCTCCACGCACACAAAGCGGCGGTAGGCGTCGGGCATGGCGGTCCAGGGGTTCCAGACCACGGCGTCACGCCAGCCGTGGCTGGACAGGGCCACCGCGGCGCCGTTGCCGACGTGCAGCTCGGCGTATTCGCCCGCGTCTAGGTAGACGCGGTCCACTGGCCCCTGGATCAAGACCGCCTCACCCTCCTCCTCGCACTCTGGAGGAGAGGTGGCGCTGACCACCTTGTCCAGGTACTTCTGTGGTGGAGGAGGGGGTGGAAGGTGAGGAGTTTGAGATGGGGGCCAACATTGCACGGGGTCAGCAATCTCGGCGATACATCAAGGATCGTCGGTCAATGGAGATTGCGTCATCGACCACGTCTCCCAAAGCGCGAGCAGCATCCTCACAACAGTACCGCCGTGGCCCTCCCTCCACTACAACCCCCACTCCACCCCCTCCCAACCGCCAACTCGCCAGGCCTTGGAGCCCCACAACGGCGCTGCGCTCGACATCCACCACCTCGATGTAGGAGTGCAGGGCCGCGGTGAAGTCAAAAGTGCCCCCAGAGGAGGGGTTGATCACCCGGAAGTCCAGCCGCAGCCGCTCGCCATGAAGGTTGACGGTGAGGGCGGCCTGGAACTCATGCGGCCTGTTTGGTGATGCGATGTACGACAAAGGGGGTGACTTTTCCTGCGCGTGGCGTTCTACCCCAGTGCATATTTTTGAAAGCACCTCCGTCACCACCCTTCAACCACACACCAGATGGAGCGTGTGAACTCGTTATCTCTCAAAAGCAGCTGGACCTCTGGCTCGCGGTCATCGGGGTTGGGGTCGGCGGAGCTGTCGCTCACGCTCCAGTCTACGTTGCGAGCAAAGCCGTGCTGCTGGATGGCGCCGGGGCCAAACTGGGGGAAGCAGAGGGGGATGCCCCCCGCGATTGGCTTGGAGCGGTCAAACACAGCGTCGGGGCGGATGTATAGCACCTCGTCCCCGGAAGCCTGGCGGAAGCTGGTGATCTGGCCCCCAAACAGGGATATCTGGGTGGAGGGTGGGAGGGTGTGCGAGTGTGTGTTCAAGTACGGCTCTGGGGTTGCGCCCCGACCTGACTTGAATTCCGTCAGAACTCTGCCGAGGACAGGGTGGGGAGCTTCTACGCATCCAATCCGACGAGATCAGCCTGGCTGAAGCGCCTGGGAGACTGCCGACCCCAGGCATCGTACCTCCACAGACGACCCACAGGCGTGGCTCAGCCTGATGAAGGGGAGGCCTCCCGGTCCGGCGAATGCCTCGACGTGATCCTCAACCCCTGGGGCCAGTGCGCGGTGCTGGTCACATGACACCCCCCACACGATCTGCAGTGGGGATGCCCTGCCATGCACAGGAATGGGGATGGACGCCCTGGGCCTTGCACCCAAAGCCAAATCACCACAGACTGTCATTCCACCCACCGAAGATCTCGTTGATATCGTCAATGGTTTTCTGATCCTCGGGTGTGGGTTGCACGGGATCGGCCACCGCTCTGGCTCTGCCCAAGACCCTCCTGGCATGTCTGGGGTTGCAGCAAGGATGCGATCTGTGAGCCATCAGCGGCATGTGAAGGATGCAGAAGCCTGAGTCCATTCCCCTCTTCCTCTACATGCCTGATGGGCTTAGGCCTTGCTATGAAACACCTCGACCATCTTCTCGCCGGCGTACTTCTGGCACTGGCGCAGATCGACGAATCCACCGGTGCCACAGAAGACGCCATGCTGATACTCTGAGTATTCAATGCATGCGGTTATGGACCAGCGGGACCTCTTGTGCTTGTGCGTCCGTCTCCGTGCTCATGTGGGCAGCCTCGCACGCTCAGCAGGCTGCCACGCCGGGACGGCACGGCCGAGTATGTGTGCCTATGGGGGCCTATCACCAATCACTTGGCCAATCAAATGCATAAATTTCTTCCAATGGAAGCTTAGGCCACGTGGCTGAGCCAGAGGGATGGGTAGAGGGTGCTCTAAGAAGTGATCTCAAGGTGCTCCCACCGGCCATGGATCTCCTGGAGGACTGGAACAACATCGTCTCGGATGATGTGGCAAACCCAAACGCCGAGGATGATCCGGATATCTTCGATCTGGCGCTCCTTCGCGACTTCATGTCACGGTGAGTAACTCGACGGGCCAGGCCCTGACATCTCCATGCAGGCCGGGTGAAAGCCACGTACATCGCCTGGCCTCAAGTCATGATCAATCCCAAATGTAGATCCCTTTGAACGATATGTATGCTAATCCATGCCCCTCACGACCACGACGCAGTGGCCGGGGCACGCCGGTGGCCGTGGCACTGTCAGGAGACACCCTGGTGGTGGCCACCTCGCGCAACTTCCTGCTCCGGGCCGATCTCTCCGACGGCGGCCAGGCCTCTGTTGTCGAGATCGATCTGCAGCGCCCTGGGGACGCGGTCTGCCGACAGGTGTGGCTGGATCCCTCGGGCAGTCACTGCCTGGTGGCAGCCAGCGCGGCCACGGGAGCGCCCGAGACGCTGTATGTGGACTCGGCCTGGAAAAAGGCACGCATCTTGTCCAAGATGAAGGGCATGGCCCTCACCGCCGTCGCCTGGTGGCCGAGCTTGCAGCCCTCGCACACAACGCGGTGGGTCTTGGGGAGACCTAGCAAGCACACATCGCATGCACGTTCATTCACGGTGGTCACAGGAAAGGACGGCCTCAAACCAGGCAGCGTGCTGCTGCCTGCCACAGTGTGCGGTATCCAAACATGCTGCAACCCAACCCCTACATGTGCTGTCCTTTCCACCCAGCCCCGTCTTGCTTGGCACTGACTCCGGGACCCTGGTCAGCCTGGACCTGGCAGACCCGAGGAAGGAGCGGGTGCAGCCCCTGCACAGCCTGCAGGGCCAAAGCGTGCACAGCGTGGAACAGACTGTCTCGCCAGCCACTGGGAAGCTGCTCGTGCTGGCCCTGACCCCCTCGCACATCCACTGCTTTCACGGGGAGGGCAGCCTGCAGGACTGCTTCAGCGGTGAGGCCATGGTGTGGAAGGAGGGGGGCCGGAAGATGGTTGTTGGGAGAGGGCAAGAGGACTCAGCGGCGATCAATGAGCACTCAGGATCCCTGGGTACTGATGTGAAGAGGCAGTGGGGCCTAGCATCATACAGGCAACAACACTTGTCAACTGTGGTCACAAGACCTACTCCAGCCCTCATTCTTGCCGTCACACCCCTCCCGCCAGACACCATCGGCTCACCGACGGGCCTGGAGCTGCCCAGCGCGCCTGGCCCCACCCAGATGACGCTCCTCTTTGGCGAGCCCGACCCTGCTGCAGCCTCGCGCTCCAATGCCGGGCCCGAGGGTGCCCTGCTCTCGCAGCCCAGCGTAAGTGCTTTGGGGGGTGGCGGATGCGGCCATTGGGTGGAGGAAAGACGTGCTCGCCCTGTGCGCCTCGCCCTGTGACCCCCTTGCAATAACGTGCTGCTTCACTTCCCATCAATGACCTTGCATACCCTCCACACCCGCCTTCTCCCAGGGTATCGCGGTGCTCTGCCCCGACGGCATCTTCCAGGCGACGCTGCAGCCGGACGCCCCCGGCCTCGCCTCCGACCCGAGCGCCGCGCTCACCAGGCACCATCTGCTCCCCCTGGACGTCGTGTGGCCCGGGGGCAGGGCGGCCCTGTCCCTGGCGGCCACCCGCTTCCACTTTGCCCTGCTCAGCGCCGCCGCCCTGACCCTGGTCAACCGCGTGTCAAAGCGGCGCGTCCAAGACCTGGTGCTGAGCAGGTGCCGCGGGGAGGAAGGGGGAGGAATGTCCATGCGGCGGTCGGGCTCAAGACCCTTGATGTCACATGGTGGTTGGCATCCGCCCTGCCTGGCTCCACCGCGCCTCCCCGCCGGAGGGCAGTGAGGCCTCCAAAGCTCTTTCGGTGGTGCATGTCTCCCTTTCTTGAATCACATGGGCCCGTCCCTCCTCCCCACCCCTCCATCGTCGCGCCAGGTATGCCGCCCCACTGCGCGACGTGGCGGAGCTGCCGCTGGGCCTGGTGCCCGACACGCAGCGCGGCGGGCGGGTCTGCCTCTGGGCGGGGGACGACCTGTTCGAGCTGGACGCGGGGTCGGAGGACCGCGACATGTGGCGCACCTTCCTGGACGCCGGCGAGTTCGGCGCCGCGCTGCTGCACTGCTCCACCGCCGCGCAGCGCTCCGCCGTGTTCCTGGCACAGGGCGAGGCGGCAGTGGAGGGCGGTGACTGGGAGGCCGCAGGCACGCTGTTTGGCAAGGTGAGTTTGTCGGGGGTGGGGGTGGGGGGCGAATTGCTCGTGCATGGGGCCTGACAATTCTGGGGCACAGCCGCGCAAATCCTGAATGCAGAACATGAAGGGATATGATGGTGTCTTCAAAAGCCCACCCACCATGCTCCCCTCGTACATCCCTCGCCGCGTGGCCCTCCAGGTGACGCTGACCGAGCCCAGTTTCGAGGACCTGGCCCTGCGCTTCATGGATGCCGCGCAGCCTGGCGCCCTCCAGCGCTTCCTCCAGGCAAGTGTTGATGCGGATGGCGTCCAGGGCTCAGACCTACGGCAGCCTTGGGGTCCGAGCCTGGGTGTGCTCGAACACGTACCTGCCTGACTTCTGAGAGCCCACTGGCAAGGGTCAAAGTCAAAAGTCTCACCTGTCCTACGTCACCAGGTGCGCTTGGAGACGCTGGGCAGGGATGACCAGGTGCAGGCCACCATGGTCGCCACCTGGCTGCTGGAGCTGTTGCTGGACAAGCAGAACCGCGCCGCGCTGGGCGCCAGCGAGGACACCGGCGAGGGCGCTGGCGCCGGCGGCGCCAGCGAGCTTGAGCAGGCGCGTGCAGTGGGAGGAGGTGGAAAGAGCGCCGTGGGAGCCCGGGGGTCGCAGTCTGGGATTGTTTGTGGTGACCGATGTTGCTCCTGATCGCACCAGGCCCTTCGCTCAGCTCAATGCATAGCCGATCAACACAAATGGCCTCGGCATCAGACACTCTGACACCCACTCCCACCCACTCAGGTCGAGGCGGAGCTCGCCGCCTTCTTAAGAAAGCACGTCAGGGTGCTGGATGCCGGGACCACCACCTCCCTCCTCTCGGGTTACGGCCAGCCGGGCCTCTTAGAGGTGTTTGCCGCCTCCCGCGGCGACCACGAGACTGTGCTGGAGCTGCTGGTGCAGCAAGGGCAGGCGAGTCTGCACTTTCTGTGTGTACTGAGAGGAGCATGCAGCAAGAGGGCTCACTTCCATTCACACGCGGGGGGGGTGGAGTGAGTGGGGACAAGGGCTGCATGGGCAGCGCGCAGGCTGCCGAGCGCCGAGGCTCGCCATGCCCCCTCATCAGCGCTGCCTACCATGACGTACCCCCCTCCTGTCCCCCACACCAGGTCACCCGCGCACTGGAGGTCCTGCGCAGCCCGGCAGTCAGCCCCGAGCTGGCCTACAAGTTCGCCCCCGCCCTGGCGGCCCTGGCGCCCGAGGAAAGCGTGCGCGCCTGGGTCGCGGCCAACCCGCCCCTGGACCCCGAGCGCCTACTCCCGGCGCTGCTGGCGCTGAGCTCCGGGGCGCGCGCCGATGCGACGTCGCGTGCCGCCGCGCTTTCCTTCGTACGCGCCGCGCTGGACGCCGGCGCCGGTGTCCAGGCCCTGCACGACCTCGCCCTGGACCTTTACTCCGCGCTGGACGGCGGGTGAGGTTTTATGATGATTAGAGGGGGGGGGGGCAATGGAGATGCCTGCTTGGGTGGGCTTGCAAGAGGTGGGGATAGGGGGGCTTGATGGTTGCAAAGTCCATGGCACTGTGACCGTCCCTGATGCTCTTATTGTAGCGGAAGAGGACAGCGTCGGGTGCAGACCCCCATCCTCCAGAGGAATGACAGACTGGACCCCCTCACACATGCGCACACACACACTCTAGCGCCATGCAACTCCAATCCTCCTCCTCTCCCCCCCTCTCCCTTCCCCTTCTGCAGAGAAGAGCAGCTGATGGAGTACCTGCGGACGGCACGATCGCCGCTGGGGCGCCCGCTGTTCGACCCGGTCCTGGCGCTGCGACTGGCGCGGGAGCGCGGCCGCGACCACGCCGCGGTGGCGCTGTACCAGGACCTGGGCTTGCACGACGACGCGGTGCGGCTGGCACTGACGCTGGATCGAGACCTGGCGGTGCGGGTGGCTGGTCGGGCAGGGGGCGACGCGGGGCTGAGCCGCCGGCTGTGGCTGGACATTGCGGGGCACCTGATCCAGGCCTCGGGGGATCCCAAGGACCAGGTGAATCGATGGGTGGGAAGGGGGGTTTGAGATTAGGAGGGAGTTTGGAGGAGGGACAGGGTGTCACCTGAGGCTGTGGGGGGCAGAGAATGCAGGGGACACTATCCTGTTGGCTGCCTGCAGTGACGGTTATATTATCCGCAGCCAGACAGTCAGGCGTCACCGCTCGCCTGCAATGCACATGCGACAGGCACAGGGGATCGCGCTGGTGACCTCGCTGCTGGAGGAGTCGGGGGGCCTGCTGCGCATCGAGGACGTGCTGCCCCTCTTCCCCGACTTTGTGGAGATCGATGCCTTCAAGGACGTCCTGTGCACGTGAGTCTGGGAGGGGCAGGCAAGGGGGGGTGGAGTGCATGCTGATATGGGGCTGCCTCTGCTTCACCAAGTCGCCACACCTCCTCCACCCATTCTTCAGGGCGCTGGAGGCCTACAACCAGGAGATCGAGGACCTGAAGCGGGAGATGGCGGTGTCCAGTGAGACCGCCCATGCCATCAGGCGGGTCGTGGAGAGGGGCTGGTGTAGCGTGCCCCTTGGGCCTGAGGCTAAGCATTGCCCTGGAGCCGGCTTCTGCTCCTTTGCCTCGAGAAGAATGGATTCCTCAGGGTGCTCATCACTCCATCCCCTCCACCCTTGAGCGCAGGAAGTCGCTGGGCGCCCTGGAGGTCAGGGTCGGGGTGCTGGACGGCGCCGAGCGCTGCGCGCGCTGCGGGCGCTCGCTGCAGGGCCCGCCGCCGCTGTCGGCAGGCCCCTCGGGTGGCGCCGTGCCCCAGGTGTACCTCTTCCCCACGGGCAACGCCTTCCACGGCAGCTGCCTGGCGGCCGAGGTCGCCGCGCTGGCGCCCGCGCTCCAGCGTCGGCGCATCGGCGCCGCGCTGGCGGAGCTGGCCGCAGGTCGCGACGTGGCGCGCCATCTGGCAGACCTCAACGCCGACGTGGCAAGCGAGGACCCGTACTGGGGCGAGGCGATGGTGCGCCAGGTGCGCACGCCCTTCCTGGACGGCCCCGACGCCGCGGCGGAGCTGGCCTCCTGGGCGCTTTGAGGGTCAGGGATGAGATCTGGCTCGCGATGGGGAAATCTGGTGCTCTTTGTCGATGCCACGCTGAGAGAGCGATACTCCCAGTTCGGTAGGGCAGCATGTCACTCTGGTTGTTAGTGTAACGTTGCGGTGAGGGCCAGCGCACAGCCATGTGCGGCGACTGCACTTCGTCTTCCATTCACAAATGCGAGAACCGGCTTGCAAGAACACCAAGCATTCTCAGGATGCCTTCAGGCGCTTGGCACTGGCAGCCTCATCACGCGCATGGCCCTCGGCAGCCCCGAGGGCCAGCACGGTCGGTGGGGTGAAGCTGATGCAAAACATATGCTTGTTGGGCGCAACATCACGCACCTTGTGGAAGGCGGCGGGGCAGTCTAGGGGGCCGCCCAGCGCCGCTTCCAAGCGCGCAGTGAGCTCTGTAGGGGGTGGGAGGGGCAGGGGTCATTTGGGTACCGAGAAGAATAGGGGGAAAGCCTGCAGGCTTTGAGGATACCCGGGAACACGCCAGCGACAGTGAGGCATACCCCAAGTCAAGACACCGCAGCCACAATTCTTAGCCTGAGCATCGCTCAACGTCCGCAGTCAAAGTCATTCTGAATGCACCATGAAACAAACTATCCATCCTCCTCATAACCTGCAATGCCTCGGTCACCTGGTTCACAATCCACGCCTTTCGCAAAAGCATAGACGTGCACCTTTGGCAGGGAGCCGGCCTCCCAAAGCTCCTCAGGAAAGGCCGATCGGAATGCGCTGCAAAACTCCACGGCGCTGGCCGGCAGGTTCATGATCACGTGGTGGAAAGGGAGGCGTTGCGTCGGCTCGCTCTCCTGCACTGCCGTAGACGGCACGGGCCGTTTGGCCGCGCCTAGGGGCGGGAGCGCCGCCGGCGCCAGCCGCCCGGCGGCCGCCTCGCGAATGAAGGCCGCGCCGTCCATGTTGAAGGCAAACGCCCGCTCGGTCACGCGGTTGCGCTGGATGTTCTTGCACAGGAAGGTATGGCTGTCTGGGTTGAGGTCGTTGGCGTACACCTGTGTGGAAGATTATGGGAATCCAGTGAAACAGATGGGGGGGCCCATCACTCACTTTGTGGTCTCAAATGCATGTACAGGTACTGTGAAACATCTCTCTTCCATGCCACGCTGCATATGGCACGCCGGCATGGTCCTCCCCCTTGAGACAAGCGCATTTCCCCCAGCTTCCTCCTGGCATCCAATTCCCCGCTGACAGCGCACCGTGCAGTCCCGCGCAGCAGCAGGCACCGCAAAGGGCCCGATGCCGGCCATGACGTCCAGTATGACCTGCCCCGGCGCAAAGGTGGTCACCAGCCGGGTGTGTTCCCGCTCCAATCTCGAATTCCAATACACCTGTGAGGATGTGGGGGGGGCGTAATAATTTCGTATAGCATACATTATA